TGAGTCTGCACCTGCTGACTCAACGAAAGCCGGAGGACTTCCAGGAGGGACCTCAAGTCGACTTCTTGGAGGACCACGCATTCTTCGCGCGATCCGATAGGTACCACGAGCTCTTGGACCCTGCTGGATCCTTCACCCTAGAGTATATGGACATGATCCTCAACATGCGTGCGCGCAACACCTCCGCCTGGTACGTGCCAACCGCACGTTGCATTTTTGACGTCGACACCAACAAGATCACCTGGGAGGATGTTCCGTACTTGGTGTACAAGCGCAGCGAGCAAATTGGCCACCAGGTCCGCACCTACCTCACGAAGAAATGGGGTGTGGAGTTTGTGAACACAGGCATTTGGAACTACGTGCGCTACGTGATGCTTGCCGATGTGGTTATCAAGAAGGAGTCCCTTCCCACGGACTGGAAGGATCAGGCTGCCATCTTCTACAGCTGGTTCGAAAGCGTCGGCTTCAACCGGTACAACGGCCAGTACCTGCCGGACTTCATCGAAGAGCCAGCCCCTGGCACGGTGAACGTGTCACGCACCATGAAGTGGACTTTGCCAACAGATGTTCCAGAGCACCGCGTGCCCCCCCAGAGCGCGATGAACATCCTTCCCAAGTTGCAGCGCAAGAAGGTGGGCGCCATCGACATCTCCTTCAAGGACCCCCATCTTCCCATTGGAGTTACCCAACGCCGCTGCGATGCCTCGCAGCCGCTGAGCTACAGGGAGTGCGGGCTTGTTGTGGAGGACAACGGCGAGTGCAAGTGTTTCACTTACAACGTGCCCTTCAATCTCAAGACAACGCTGTACCTGGACAAGCTGATGGCCTGGATGAAACTTCCGGCTCGCGCATTCATGTACGGGCAGATGAAGTATTGGTCTGTGCCAATCGCGCCTGAGCAGATGGACTTCTTCTGCGACCGCACTCAAGAGGACTGCTCATTCGAGGTGTCCTTCTCAGAGAATGCCAAGGTGCTGCAGTGGTCGTGGTTCGGAGACCAGGAGAAGCAGATGTTCACGCCAGAGGGCATGGCAATCGGCGCAGCAGTTGCACTGGCAATCCTTTGCCCAATCTTAATGCCCAAGCTGTCCAAGAAGAAGGCGGACAAGTTTTCCGAAAAGAAGCTGAACTGAAGAGGCTGCATCAGCCAG